GAGCATAGTTATAGTGGTGACATGGCCAGGATAGCTTAAGAGAGGCTAGGACTGTAATAAAAAAGCCACTTATATTTATTTAATGTATGTTGATATATATTTATTTATTTTTTCGAGACAGGATTTTTCTTTGCAGCCCTGGCTGTCTTGGAACTCATTCTGTAAATCAGGCTGGCCTAGAACTCACAGAGATCCCACTTGCCTCTGTCTCCTAAGTGCTGGGATTAAAGGCCTTCGATACCACCATCTGGCAGTTTTATTATTGTGCATGTGTCTTAATGTATGTGAGATAGCATGTGTGTGGTAGGACAAAGGTTAACTTTCATTGGTTCTTTCCTTCCTTCCACCATGTGGGTCCCAAGTATCAAATTCAGGTCATTAGGCTTGGCAGCAAGTACCTTTTTCTGCTGAACCATCTTGTAAACCTGGGTTTTGACTCCTTAATATTGAGATTCATGTGTCCTTTTCCCCCAATGCAAGGAAAGTGCTAAATATTATAATTGTTGAGTATTACAGTGAAATAATAGGTGACTTAAATTTTTTTTGACAGACCTCCCCCGCTGAGTGTGGTGCCACTGGTCTGTCATCCCAGCCCTCTGGAGGCAAAAGTGGGAGGAGGGTTTCTGTAAGATTGAGTCTGGTCTACATAGTGACCTCAGGCCCAGGCTTCGTAATGAGACCCTGCCTAAAATAAAGTAGATCTGTGGTTTCTTGTGTTTCCTAAGGATGTTCCTGAAGCACATGTGTTACTCTCAGCTGAGTTTACTTGTTTCTTTTTTGTTAATAACCCTGGTAAGATATTTGGCAAAGTCCACTAAGAAGCACTATGTACTGGAGAGGTCAATATATGACAGAATTCTTGTCCTTCATACTGTGGAAGTTCATTGCAAGCTAATGCAAAATGACTCATAGGACTATTGAAAAGTAGCTTTTGCTCTTAACTGCTGAGCTCCTGTCCTGTTAATTCTTTCCCCTCCTCTCTCCTTCCCTTCCCTTCATCTTGTTTTTGAGGGAGGGTCTTTCTATGTAGCCTTGGCTGTCTTGGAACTCTGTAGACCACGCTGGACTAAAACTCACAGAGATCCACTGGCCTCTGCCTCCTGAGTGCTGGTGTGTGCCACTTATTTCTGGGAGTTTCCCTTGCCTCTCCCCCTTCCCTCCTTTTTTAAACAATAGGTCTCACATTGTAGCCTAGCCTAGACTTGAACTTGAAGCAGTTCTTCCATCTTCTAGAGTGCTGGTACTATAGGCATGACTTTATGGCTTTATGAAGTTTGAATGAAAACATACTGTTGAAGGGAACTAGGTAAAGGGTGTGTGTGGAAGTGAGAAGCTGGTACATGACTGGTATATGATAGGCACTTGTAGTGACTTTCTGGAAGTCACCTCATTTGATACTTAATCACTTATGACAGAATTGGCAGACCCAGTTTTACAGGTAAAGGAGCTGCTGTAGGACACTTATGTAGTTGCAAGGACATGTGTATCTAACCATGGCCTTGGCTTATGAATAAACTCCTGCCTTTTGTGGAAGGAGGAGGAAGAGAACAAATTGGGGCCCTTTTATTTTATTTTTTTGCCATGGACAATAGGGAGCCATTAAGAATGTTAAACAGGAGAAACATGTCTGTTCGGAAAATAACCTTGGAAGGGGCAAAGCCATAACTACTGATCTATTGCTCAGCGATTAATTACAAATGAGGGATCTTTGCTTAGCAGGTATGAGGGGCTTAGCTTGATTCTAGCACAGAAAACAAAACCAAACAACAAAAAAACCTAAGTAACCTCTGTTCTTTCTCCCCCAGTAACAGCTTCATACATGTATATAAATGAGTTGTAGTAAGTTTTACCCCATTCCCCTTTCCTGTTCACCTTAACAAATCCTCTTCTACTTCCTTGTCTTGCCGTCACAAAAAGTAATCAGAATTGTTGTTAGCATGAGTGTGGGTGGGAAGTTTGTTATTGACTGTGGGACAGAATGATGCTCCTTCTCCCCAGTTATACTCTGTGTTAGAATAGTTTTCAGCCGGGTGGTGGTGGCGCACGCCTTTAATCCCAGCACTCTGGAAGCAGAGGCAGGCGGATCTCTGTGAGTTCGAGGCTGGGCTGGACCAACAGCCTCCAAAACAATACAGAGAAACTCTGTCTCATAAAACAAAAAAAAAAAGTTTTCATGTGGGGCAGTAGTGGCACACACCTAGAGGCCAGTGGGTCCCTGATTTCAAGGCCAGCCTGGTTTACAGTATGAGTTCCAGGACATTGAGAATTACACAGAGAAAGAAACCCTGTCTTGAAAAACAAAACAAACAAAAGAAGAGTTTTTCTTTGTTTTTTGAGACAGGGTTTCTGTGTGTATCAGTCCTGGCTGTCCTGAAACTCACTCTGTAGCCCAGGCTGGTCTCAAACTCAAAGAGATCCTCCTGCCTCTGCCTCCCGAGTGCTGGGATTAAAGGTGTGAGCCACCAACGGCAGGCTGCCTTGTATTATTTTTAAAAAGGAATTTATTTCATATGCATGAGTATTTTTCCTAACTGCATGTCTGTGTACCATATACCTGGCTAATACTTGTGGAGGCCAGAAGAGTGTGGTCTCTTGGAACAGGAGTTGTAGACAATTAGGAACTGCACACAATGGGATCACACAATGGTCCTCTGGAATAGCAACTAGTGCTCTTAACTACTGAGCCATTTCTCCAGCCCTCTGAATGCTCGCCCTTCCTTCCTTCCTTCCTTCCTTCCTTCCTTCCTTCCTTCCTTCCTTCCTTCCTTCCTTCCTGTTTTTGAGACAGGGTCTCTGCATAGCTCTGGCTGTCTTCGAAGTTACTATGGTAGTAAGTAACCTGATTTCAGGCACGCCTCCAACTCAAAGAGATCCACTATCCTCTGCCTCTGGAACACTGTTGCTAGTATATAGAAATTAATTGTTTTTAGTCTCATGGATGTTGTTTCTTGTATTTACTAAGCCCACTTATTGCTATTAGTTCTGTAGATGCTTCAGGATTTTCTTCATACAGGATCAAGTCATCAGCGTGCTTATTAGATGTTTAATTACATTAATTTATTCATTTTTGGTTTTTCAACAGTGTCTCTGTGTAGCGTTGGCTGTAATGGAACTCAATCTGTAGACCAGGCTGGTCTCTTATAGAGATCTATCCGACTCTGCGTCCCAAGTGCTAGGATTAAAGGCATGTGCTACCATCACCTATCTAGATGTTTAATTAAAAAAAAATCCCAAGCCAATCTAGGGTATTCTTGTTTTTAAAATAATTTATTTAATTTTACTTATGTGTATTGGTGTGAAGGTATCAGATCCCTTTGAACTGGGAGTTACAGACTATTTTGAGCTGCCCTGTGGGTGCTGGGAATTGAACCCTGGTCCTCTGGAAGCAGTCTGTGCTCTTAACTATTGAGCCATCTCTCCAGCCTGCATATCCTTTTTGGTTTTTCAAGACAGGGTTTCTCTGTGGCTTTGGAGGCTGTCCTGGAACTCGCTTGGTAGTCCAGGCTGGTCTCGAACTCACAGAGATTCGCCTGCCTCTGCCTCCCGAGTGCTGGGATTAAAGGCGTGCGCCACCAACGCCCGGCCTGGATATCTTTTTAGTGTGCTTTGAGACAGTTTCCTCTTTGTAGCCCCCTGGCTGTCCTTTGTAACCAGGCTGACCTCACACTCTAACCTACCTCTGTCTCCCAAGTGCTGGGATTAAAGGCATGTGCCCTCACCACCAGGCTCAATTTAGGACATTCTTTTATGGGTATCATCTCTTTCAAAAGATAGCTGCAGGCTTCAGCTCCAGGAAATGGGAGCAGGAAAACCATAAGTTTGTGACTAGCCTTTACTACAATGAGTTCAAGGCCAGTGTGGGGAACAGAGTGAGAACCTGCCTCAAAATAGAAAGATTTTGTTTTGGTTGTTTGTTTTTTTTAAGGGGCAGAGGAGATAGCTTAGTCAGTGATAGTTTTTGCCTGGCATTCACAGTAGGCAAATCCCAAGATGAATTCTTTTTTTTTTTGTTTGTTTGATTGTTTTTTGTTTTTAGAGACATATTTCTCTGTGTAGCTTTGGAGCCTGTTCTGGAACCCTCTCTAGACCTCCAACTCACAGAGATCTACCTGCCCCTGCCTCTTGAGTTCTGGAATTGAAAGGCCACCAAACCACCCTATTCAGAAGCAGGTAGATCTCTGTGATTTTGAGGCCAGCATGGTCTACATATTGAATTCCCAGACAGGCTCCAAAGCTACAGGGGAACCCTGTCTCGACGAAGAAAAAAGTAATTTAAAAACTTTTAGGTAGGTTCTTACTATACAAATTTGAGCCATTGTGCCTGTGAAGATGAGTCATTCACTATAAAAGTCACTCGATTTTTCTATTTCTGATTCAGGTGAGCATTAAGTAGAAAGAACATTAGTTAATAGAAGCAGATGACTACATTTTTGCTTTAAGAAGTTTTACATTTTTCAGACAGATATTCTGTGTTGATCTTATCCAAATGACTTCGTTGTGCTTCAGTTGTTTTATCTACTAAGTAGAATAGTAATATCACCTGTCATAGGGTTGGAATTTGGTAAGTGTTCTGAATGAGATCTATCTTGGATGTACAGGTGATGGAGTACCTTAAATGTAATTAAGAATATACTTAGCTGGGCATAGTGGTGCATACCTTTAATCCCAGCACTCGAGCCAGCCTGGCCTCAGATGGAGTTCCAGGACAGCCAGGGTTGTTATACAGAGAAACCCTGTCTCGATACCCTCCCTCACCCCCATTTTTTTATTGCATTTACTTATTTGTGTGTGCCCATATGTGTGTGTCCCTGTATGCACACCACCTGTGTGGCCACAGAACATCTGTGGGAGTTAGTTCTGTTCATCATGTGGGTCAGGGGAACTAAAAGGACTGAACATGGTCAGGGCTTGGTGGCAAGCCTTCCTTTACCTGCTGAGTTATTTTACCTGCCCATCCTTTCTGTTGAGCTCCTTATCTCATTTTCTTTCTTCCTGAACAGGCGGGGTCTGTTGAGACTGCTGACATTTTCAGTGACCTGTGTGCTACCAAGTGTCTTGTGATCTTACTGCTGACCCTTTACTGCTGCTGGGAAATAAAGCAAAGAATTTGAGTAATTTTAAGAGAATTGTTTTCCTTATTGCCAGAGTTTCTTATTAAATGCCTATGTGATCTCATTGTGTTTCCCAATTCTAAAATTTGCTGATCCTAATCCAGATCAGGATAGGTTTTTTTTCCCTACCTCTGTTATTTAGAGGATACTTCCAAGTCTCTGGAGATAACTGGTGAGGGATTGGGAGTGATTTGAACTTAAGTTAAAATAGTGTTTCAGTTTTAAAGAGAGAGCCCAATTTAGGATTATAACATTCTCATTTATTTATTTATCTGTTTATCTATTTATTTTAGGTTGGGTTTAACTGTGTAGCCCTGGCTGGCCCGGAACTCACTTTTATAGAGCCTGTTGGCCTTGAATTCACAGAGATCTGCCTGCCTCTGCCTCCAGAGTGCTCTGATTAAAGTGTGTACTGACACTCCTTTTGCTTCCAGCATTTTTATTTTATTTTTATGTGTCTAGGTTATTTGCTTGAATGCATGTCTTTCTTGCCTGAATATGTCTGTGTACCATGTACTTCCCCAGTGCCCCTGGAGGCCAGAAGATGCTGTTTGATTCCTTGGGACTGGAATTACATACAGACAGTTGTGAGCTGGTTGAGAGTGCTGGAAGTGGAACCCAAGTCCTCTGGAAGAGAAGAGGTGGAAGCAGGAGGACCATAAGTTCATGGCTAGTCTGCACTACACAATAAGTTCAAGGCCAATTTGGGAAATGAGAGCCTGCCTCAAAATAGAATTTTTTTTGGGTGGGGGGGCTCAGGGGAGATAGCTCAGTGATAGAGTATTTGCCTGACATTCATGGTGAGTTTAGTCTTAGTGTCAGGCAGCAGGGCTTCTCTGTGTAGCCCTGGCTAAATTGGGACTCATTGTGTGGACCAGGCTGGACTCACAGAGACCCACCTGCATCTGCCTCTCTAATGCTGGTTTTAAAGGTGTGTGGCACCATGCCCAATTTCATTATGACATTTCATATATCTATATAGTACTTTGAACATACATACCCACTACCCCCTTTCCTTCATCCTACTGTTCTCCATCGTCTTCCTAAATAGTCCCTTTTTACTTCCGTGTCTTTTTTATTTTTTAATGGCTCAATGTTTCCTTAGAGTTTGAAGAGTGAAGATAGAGCTATACCACTAAAGAAAGCCTTTTTACCCCTCCCCAGCACAACTATTAACCGTCATTTCATCACTGGACAAGAATATACCTCATGTAAGAATATACCTCATGTGCTTCTCCATGGCAGGATGTTGACTGGGCCCTAGTCTTCTGCAGGTCTTCTGTGAGTGAGTTCAAGAGTACAACTGCTGTGTCAGGCTTGAAAGATAGTGTCCCACAACACTCCATCCCCTCTGCTTGCTCTTTCTGCTCCTTCGGTGGTATTCTGTGAGCTCGTGTGGGAGTTGGGGGATGATATAGATGTTGCATTTGTAGTCTTTTATCCTCTGCACCTTGATCAGTTATGAGTCTCTGTAGTTACCATGTCACTGAAAAAAAGAAGTTTTCTCTGACAAAAGCTGACAGCAGCATGAATTTGTGGGTAAAAGTTGTAAATGTTTAGAGGGCATTTTGATGGATACAACATGTCCATTTAGCAAAACAATTAGTGACTTCTCTAATTTAATCTCCTCCATCATGAGCTTTAGTTTACACGATTAGATGTGGAGTCGGCCTCAAATCCAATGAGCAAACGTTTGGTTCCATCCATTCCAATGGGTACATTTAATTGTAGTGTAGCATGCAGGAGCCACAGCTGAGTTAAGACTTGGTGATATTGCTTCCTTAGTAGCTTCTCTCCAGCAGAAAAGAAACTTTCATCTTAGTTCTAGCTTATTATTATTAATATTTTTTGGGGGGGGTTCGAGGCATGGTTTCTCTGTGGCTTTGGAGGCTGTCCTGAAAATAGCTCTTGTAGACCAGATCTGCCTGTCTGCCTCTTGAGTTCTGGGGTTAGAGTCATGTGCCACCACCGCCCAGCTATTATTATTTTTTAAAATGTCCTTCAACTAGAGCATGTGATATCTTTAGCAATAGGGTCTTATTGTCTAGTTCTGGTGGACAACCAACAATAGTGGCAATTTGTCTATATTGATTTATGAATACAAATTCCTAGTTTGATGAGAAATCCTTTTTCTTATAATTATTTTAAGCTTTAAAATGTAGGACTGCACAATATAACACTGACAGGCCTAAAACTTAAATGTCTGCCTGCCTTTACTCTTCTAATGATGGGATTATAGTCATAAGCTGCCTTACTTGGCAACTTTAAGTTCTTTTTATAATATATGTACACACACACACAACTTTATTTTTTTTAGGTTTACTTATTTGTATGTGTATTGGGGGCACTTGCAGAGGTCAGAGGACAACTTGATAGACTTGGTTCTTCACTTCATCCACTTGGGTTTCAGGGATCAAATTCAAGTCCTCAGACTTGACAACAGGTAGCTTTACTTCGTGAACTTCGTCACTGGCCAACTTTTAATTTTATGCTTGTAATGAAAGCTGGTTTGGAAAGTCCACAGATACACACATTATTTATTGCTTCTGTCACTGATGCCCCACTTTTCTGTAACTCTCATTTTTTCTTTCGTTTCCATTTCCAGCTGCTAACCAAATAGTGTCAAACTTCCACAAACTATTTGATTTTATTTATCTTCATAAATATGTCTGTAATTTGTTTCTGTAGGTGATATTTAGAATTTTAGGGATCTTTGTTAGGGAAGGAAGAAAAGTGACCCGTGGAATGAGTGAGAAATGAGAAGTTAGTGAAAGTCAGTAGTACTTAATGGCTTGATACTCACACGATTCTGGTATATAAAATATGCCTTGGTGCAACATCTTAATTTGTATCATAGAGGACATGAAACCAAAATGATTGTGTGAGGAAGTTCATGAAAAGAAGTATTTTTTGCTAATACATTATTTTTAAATGTTATTTCTTTATTAGTTGTATGGTGGGTATTTATATGGAGGTCAAGACAACTTAAAGGAATTGGTTCTTTCTCTACCATGTGAGACACAGGAATAGAATTTAGTGTAGCTCGGCATTGTGGGCACACAACAGGAGGCAGAGGCAGGAGGATCTCTGAGTTTGAGGCTAGCCTGCTCTACAGAGAACATTCCAGGGCAGGCTCCAAAGCAATACAGAGAAACCCTGTCTTGAAAAACAAACAAACAAAAAAAGTAATTTAGTTTGTCAGGCTTTGACAGCAGGCCCCTTTATTGGGTGTGCCATTTCTTTGGCTCCCATGTGCGTTATTCTTATATGGAGATAATATTAATATGCTACACATGTTGGGGTGCCTATGGAGGCCACAAGACGGTATGAGATACCCCAGAACTGGAGTTACAGGTCGTTAAGTGTGAGTTCTTGGAACTGAACTCTGGTTCTCTGGAAGAACAGGAAGCACTCTTAACCACTATGCCATTTCTCCAGACTAAGTAGTATGTTTGTTTATATCTGTTTGATTTTTTTTTTTTGTTCTTTCTGAGAGGTACAGGATATTAATGTGTGGCTGAGACATAACTGCCTTTGTAGAATCAGGCTGGTCTTGAACCAGAGATTGACTTGCCTTTCTAGGATTAAAGGTATGCAACCATACTTGGCCACCAGTCCTTATTTTTATTAAAGCCCTTTTTGTAAATCTTTGTACTAAATACACTTTTTGTAAATGACCAGTGTAAATTTAGTTAGGACAAAGTCTTCTGATTCAAACTTGTATAATTTTATTTGTATCTGAGATTGATTATGGTAAATGGAAACAAGGAGTATCCGAGTTTTGCATTCTGAACACATTTAAGACAATTTAACAATTCATTGTAGATGTTTCTTTAGAATGTCATTAATTTTTTCATAATAAAAAGTGATTTGTTTTTGCAGTGGTTTTTATATGAGTCAAAGCCTGGGTTTTTCTTAGGGCCTATTGTCTATGTATAAACATTTGTCAGTGCAGTTAATAGCAGTCTGTTGTCCTAGTTTTATTTTTAAATTGTAACTCCTTGGATTTTGTTATTCTGAAATTTTGTGAGATAATTGTAACATTTTAGATGACACTATATTGTGGAATGTTATAATCTATAGGAATCCAGGCTCTGAATGTTACGATGTTTTAATGTTCTGGAATAAAAACACAAAACAAAACCAAAAAACAGTTATTTGCCTGGTCTGTTTGGGAAGTCAGAACCTCACTCCTAGTTAGTTTATCTGCTCTTCACTTCTTCCTCCATGTTGAAAATCTTTAAAACATTCCTTCATCTTAAAATAAGAATTCTTTGGTATCTTAAGACCATGTTTAACCATCATTTAAGCCTATTTATTAGTTATTAGAGCAACAAATGCAGACAATACTGGGATTCTTTTTTTTGTTTTGTTTTGGGTTTTTTTTTTTGTTTTTGTTTTCTTGTATTTTGCGAGACAGGGTTTCTCTGTGGTTTTGGAGGCTGTCCTGGAACTCACTTTGTAGACCAGGCTGGCCTTGAACTCACAAAGATCCGCCTGACTCTGCCTCCCGAGTACTGGGATTAAAGGCGTGTGTCACCACTGCCTGGCAACAATGGGATTCTTTTCCTTCTCTTGTTTTTCTTGGTGGCAGTGGTGTTTTGTTTAGTGCCAGGAGCAAAAAACCACCACCATAAATATGAGGAAGATGAAAAGCAGGTTGCAGCATGTTAGACTTTTTTTTTTAAAGTGAAAAGCTTCCATTATTAAATGGAGTCTGCTTTAACAGAGTAAAACTGTATTGGGACATTTATGGTACAAATCATAGATCATTTTGACTTTCTTACTTCATGGACAGTATATTGGAAAGAATTTACTGAAAGGGTTAACTTAAGTGAGGTTTTAACTTGGTGAAGTGAAATGATGCAAAAATGTATTTGCTTCCCTTTGTTTTATGTCCTGGGTTTCTAACAGACTTCTTTAGTTTAAGTATTAAAAAAAAAGCTGCATTTTTTGGTTTGTTTAGAATTAAACAGAGGGAAAGGTACTCATGCATGGTTACCA